CAATTCTACACTCAGCTATCCTCCGTGATACGGTCTGTGCCGTGGAGCGACCGACTATTTCTGTTGGGTGATTTCAACGCGTGTGTTGGGCGTGATGCATCGGTGTGGACAGATGTCATTGACTGCGTGGCATTGGTTCAGCGAATACGAACGGTGACATGCTGCTCTCACTGTGTGCCACTCACGGCCTGACGATCACGAACACTCGGTTTGCACTGAGTGCGAGTGATGTTGCAACTTGGACGCACCCACGGAGTGATCATGCTCACCTGCTCGACTATGTCGTCGTACGTCAGCGTGATATGCCTGAAGTGCACATGACACGTGTACTGCGTGGAGCTGAGTGTGGCACTAATCACAAATTGGTGGGTACCAAACCGTACATATATTTTCGTAAATGCATGTATTGCACTCCTGCCGTGAACCAGCGGTAATATAATGTTTTTCCCTGGGTACAATGTATATGAGGATGGAGTTGTACGCTGTACGCCGTACGCCTGTGATGTGGAATGCACAGCCACAGTGGGTGACCTATGGCAACACATTTGTGACCAGGTGAATGTTGCTGCCGAAGAGTCCATCGGACGCTCAAACTGTAAGCGGCCTGGTTGGTTTGATGAGAACAATGCGACGATTGGCGCATTGGTGTCGGAGAAGAATGCAGCATTTGCTGCACATGTGGCAGACCCCAGTGACTTGGGGAAGAGTAGTCAGTTTCTCAAACTTCGACGGCGACTGACCCGAGAGCTCCGTCGCATAAAAAATGCATGATGGACGGAGAAGGCGAAGCAGATGGAATGCTACGCCGAACGCCGCCAACACAAGGAATTCTTTGACATCTTGAAGGCGGTGTATGGACCGAGATTGAAGCCGCTGAGGACGCTGATCGATGGTAGTTCAGGCGCTGCCTGCACACAGACTGCAGACATAATGCAGATCTGGCGGAAACACTTTGACTGTCTCTTGAAAAACCGTTCAGAGTTTGACTGGCATACTTTTAACCGCTTGAAGCGGTACGATGTGAAGGCATGTCTGGCGGACACACCGACACTGGATGAGACGCAGAGAGCACTTGCTCAGCTGCGAAACGGCAAGTGTGCCGGTGCCGACGGGATCCTGCCTGAACTATTGAAACACGGTGGACCCGCGTTGGTAAGTGCCTTGCGCCAGTTGGTGTTACGCGTATGGATTGAGGAGGAGGTGCCTCCTGAGCTGAAGGATACCCTTGTACTACCACTGTACAAGGGCGAAGGAAGCAAGACTTATGGTGGCATTAACTTGCTGGGTTGTGTGGGCAAGTTGCTCGCCGAATCCTGCTCAACTGTCTCGTGTGGAATCTAACCTGGTGGGGGGCAATGTGGATTCCTCTCGGGTCGCAGCACCATCAATATGGTATTTGTGGCTCTTCAGTTGCAGAAGTGCGGAGAACGACACCAGCCGTTGTACTGGCTTTTTGTTAATTTCACCAAAGCATTTGATACGGTGAACCACGAGCCATTGTGGCTGGTGTTTGGTAAGTTTGTAAGTCTAACTGAATGTTTACAGAGTGTTATGCGGGCGAGGGTGCAACTGAGTGCAGAGACCTCGGATGACTTTGCGGTTGTCTCTGGTATGAAGCACGACTGTGTCTTAGCTCCTGCCCTGTTTAATATTTATCTTCATGCCGTGATGTCTTGTGCTTTTGTTGCCGCTTGTGCTTACGGTGTTCGTGTGGTGCACCGTATCGATGGTGCCTTGATAAACATCCATCATTTCGGTGCGAGAACCATAGTTTGTGAGATAAGTGTCCGTATTTTGCTGTACCCTGACAACTGCTTTGTTTGCACATAGCGCGGATGAGTTGCAGCACATGACTAGTGCTCTAGCTTCGACATCGGTCGAATTCGGGCTCACCATCAACACAACCAAAACTGTCTGTCTCTTTCAGCTTTCACCGGAGGTGCAATCTACAATATTGCCGCTAATCAGCATTGGTGCTGAAGTATTGGACACCACCTCCCGCTTCTGCTACCTTGGGCGTGTGGTGTCGACTGTTCAGTAGCTAGACAGTGGGCTGCGTATCCGAATATCGAAGGCAGAGGTGGCATTCGAGAAGCTTGAGTACTGAGTGTGGTACAACCACCAGCTTACCGTCGGCACGAAGTTGATGGTGTGCAAATTCATGATGCTGTCGTCTTCTATACGGCAGTGAAACGTGGACGATGTACCGTCGGAATGTGCGATATCCCGATCGGTTTCATCAACAGTGTCTGCGACGGACTATGCACATTGCTTGATGCGACAGAGTTGCAGACACGGAAGTGTTGCAGCGTACTATTTACTTTTACTTAGACACTTGAGGTGGCTCGGTCATGTGTGACATGGATTCGACGCGGATACCGAAGCAGCTGTTACATGGTCAACTGAGTGTGGGGAAGTGACATGTGGGGAAACCGAAGCTTCCTTACCAGGACATGATCAGGGTAAGCCTATCACGTTCTGATGTTGCTTGCAGATGTTGGGAATCGAATGTGGAGCGGGCTACGGTCCAGCCACCGCATTGTGTGCTTCTGATTCCCAAATACAGTGTGCTTCTGTTTGCCTGTGTAGGAGTGTGGGCCGGCGCCGTTGACGAAACGTGGTTCTCATCCACATTCCTCCGGGTCTTATTCCTTCGGGTTTACACTGGACAGGGGGTGTGTGGATGGAGCTGTGGGTGGTGCAGCGCAAGCCACCCATTGTCCCTCTGTAGCCGCTGGCGTTCTGTGGCTGTCCTATTGAGGTCACAGTGACAAGCAAATCTGGAACCGGATGCCGCCAACAATATATATAGATAAACATATATACATATATATATATATATATATATATATATTGAACGGTCAAATTTAGCAAGAATCAAGCTTAAGATATCGTACGAGGACGGGACTTCACTGCCACTCTGATGACTGCTACGTGTCATGCTTTCATCTGGGAAAGGACTTCTCATCAGGTACTATGGCCCAAGGTCTATGTCCATCTTAGCGATGCAAGTAATAACCCACAACTCATTCACTATGCAAGGATTTCACGATTAATACCAGCAGAAGGTCACAATTATTCATAGAAATTACCATTCGTTTGATGTATGGCACACTAGAATTAAGCGGTCCAGTGTTAGTTGCGGTACAATAGCGGAGGTGTTTCACCACCTCTAGCTGACATGTATAATAATGATGATGATGATGATGGTCCAGTGTTAGTAAAGACTGAACTTCAGCGATTGATTCGCTTTTAAAACTGGTACTAGCATCCATCGTCTTTTTCATGTACCAGTATGGGTTCCACCGGTTCCCATCGGCCACCGAACGCCACTTTGTCCTTTAGGCCAAATGCAGTGCCTACAGCACATACTACTGGCCGAATGACCGATACGAGATGGTTATTTGTACCGTCTAACAATTGCAAAAAGCAAGTGTTGAGTGCCTGTCTGAATGGTGATTTTAGCGGTTAGAGTGCGTTTAAACGGCAACCGAAACGCTTTCAGGAACAATGGCATTGCATCCTGTCTTTAACTTAATCTTCTCTCAGATAGCGCTGGTCCAATCAGTTGACTTGAAATTGCCACTAAAACCTCATGATCAAAATATTTCCTCCTTTCTTGCACAGTTCCACTAAGTTACTCGGATTTTATCCGTGCCAGCAGCATTATGGGGAATTAGCAAGAGGCTGTGTGCAGAAAAGAAATTCTTTTACATAGCTATAGAGTAACCAGCACGATAGTGACTATTAGGAAGGACGTACGTGTAAAATTAAACCTTTGAATAATTGAATAGTTGTTCAAATATTTAACTCCCCCAACGAAGTGAATTCCGCATTTTTCTCTCTAGGTGTTTAGAACCGAATAGGTCGAAGGTGGTGACTTCCGTACTTCACATTTGGTCATCACAATCGCTTTAAACATATATATATATATATATTTTTATATAATATGGTTTCTTACAAACATTAAATCTCGATAATCGGTTGACCTGCAAGCATGGAAACTAACCCGGATCCTAGCATATCGAGACTCTACCATAATCCCTACTTTGGTGGTTCCAGAGCACTAGTTCTTGGCGAAATTGACCTGCAGCGGTCAACTTCATTTTAGGAGGAAAGTCAGCTAGTGCAGAAAAAGGGGTTTTACTCCCTGGAGAATCTCGCAAATAGCTTAGAAATCTGCAGCTGTTGTGGAATCAGTGGATCATCGCAATCTTGATGCAAGTGCAGACGGCACCCAGCTACCCGTTGAATCGTTTGAGTCGAATTTTTGCATAGGCATTTCGCTTACAAGTTTACAAATGCCGCTTCTCCCACCATAGGGAAAATAGACGACCTCGCACTTTTACTGATTCATCTGAATTCTCATGCCTCTACTAGTGGAGCTGCGACAGTAGTGTTAAACACAGGAGGCCAATTTCCCAGTTAAACACCAAACTTAAAAAAAGAACTTAAGCGGTTGCGACGAGTAGGACCACAGACTATAGGTGCTAGCGCAATTTGGTCAGTGAGTATCCTCATTTGCGATCGTAGAATTTGGATCAATTGAGGTATCCATGAATCGTTGCGCTATTAGAATGAATGTGTCAGCAACAACCTTAGTTACCGTCGAGGTAGAATCAAGGGAAGTTCAACGGATTGGGTAAGGAATGGACAATTCATCATGAGTTCATCGATTTCCTAGCTTATTATTGCTTCCTGCGCAGACGGAGTGCTTATGTCGCACTTCTCAGTAGGATTGAACAGTACGGGTAAGATACATAGGTATTAGACAAGGTACATGTACCGAAATTACTTTTTTCCGTTTCTGTTTGCCTACAAGAGTTCTCATTTTTTGCGAGATCAGTGTTTAACATAGTGAGTTCCACCGTAATTTTGGGTGGGTATCTCAAGCGAAATTACCATGAGACGTGAAACTGAGGTACCTATTTACACACACACTTTTAATCTCCAACTCGCTGTTAAAACACTCTCACACTGTCATAAATTTTTTATTATAGATCGACGCTTCACAAGAAATGGATGCGGTCCTCAAAGAAATACTAAGCATCCTTGAAAGTTATTCGTCCTTCCCCAACAGAGACAAACTGGATTGAAATATTGTCTTAGTAAAGACAATTTTGAACTCTTTAAACTTCGAACGAATCATCGAAATTTAATCCCTACTTCTAGTCTCATTTCGACCGCCGAGTGACGTGCAAGCTTCAAACCTTTTTACACTGCATTTTCCGTTTGTTTGCCAGTACTGTGGCAAACCAGCAGATTTTCACAGACACCTGTGCTTTTGAAATATTCAACTTTTTATCTGAAGTGCCACTTCTCTTTTCCTTTTAATTTATTTCCACTTATTTTGTATTGTACTAATACAAGCGCCATATCATTTAAAAACCTTTCAACAACTAACTAAAACTTTTCCAAACCTGGTTGACAAATAAGCAACCTCGATAGTGGCAAGTTGGACTAAAGCGAGGCATACAAAAACCAACTTTAATACCCACCGCCGCGCCTACTTTATAGATGGATGAATGGACGATACCGGTGGCGACGGAATCGAATATTCGGTTTCACCCCATCGTCTCAAGATTGAGCCTCAGTTCCAGACTAGGGAAGATTACTTTTACCATTCATTGGCTGTAGTAGTCGTTGCTGGTATATTCACTTCGCATATTTCACTAGTACTCTACCTCCTGTACCAACTGATCGATCGCAACCGCAATATTTGACGTAGGACTGTAGGAACTTCCTGCTCGTTCTGTTATGAGTATCGCCCTCAAAATAATAGTTGTATAACGTTGGACAAGAACAGGTTGGTCGAGGCAGATGTTAATACGGACGCCCAACATCCTCTCACCCATGCTGCCACCTGACTCTAGATTCGTCTGTGTTGCCGTTCGCTCTTTGACTGGCAAGCGTAGTTATTATAGTCCGTCTACTGGGACACGGAGACTAACCTCAAAATTATCTAACGATTAATATATAATTTTCGATGTTGTATGTGCGTTAGTGCTGTTTATAACGGTCTTCCGGTGCTCCCACCAGATGTAATTTAACCTATGAGGTTACTACCAGCGTATCCACTTTGGTTGCTATTTCTCGGTCGTTTGGGGAACTGATTTTCGGTTACCAACAGATAGGCAACAATGTCAATATCCAATAAGCCTAGCAGCGCTACTACGTGACAATGGCTGTTTGAAACATGTTAACACTTTGACTGATCCAAACGGAAGACAACTAAGGTAACTAAGCAGCCGGCCTGAGCTACAGGCGTTTCGAATACTTTCGAGCACTTCCCAAATTTTCATGCCCATTCAAGTGTCCGAAGTCCTCCTCTGCTGCTAACGCGGTAACTCATCGTCAGTTCAGCTGCACCTCGAACCCCGAGCATACTGAGGCCGGCAAGTACTGCTTGCTCACGGAAACCTGGGCCTAAATTTTCAGAATTGTACGTTTATTGTGTCACAGAACATTGTGGTAAACAATAGCGATTCGGTACAAAATGCGCAAATTGCCGTAAAAATTCATCATCGATGTGCTTTCCTTAGTCGGCCGTATAAAAAAATTTATAATGGGATTGGTCCCCTCCGGTTTTGTACCGAGTGTACGAAGCTTCCACTCGTCGGATGTATAGCTGTGTTGGCACAGATATGCGACAGACTGACAAAGACGGTAGAGTAAGCATTAGCCTGAGAGCTAACCCACAGAAACCGGACAAATCGAACTCTTTACTCGACATCCAATTCAGAACAGTGTAGACAGGCAGAATATAAGAGCAACGATCCGGATTTAGCCAACCTAATTCTAGGGGCTGCTCACAAAGATACCTTCGCCACACCTTTTTCCTCAGAGCCATGCGCCACCTTAAATATTGTTAGAGGACTGACACGCTTCGGTTGTTGCTACTCACTTTACAGAACCCCCCCTCATATTGACATCGCTGGTCGTCAAACTGGGTTCCCTTAATGCTAACTGCTACAGTGCTTGCATAGTCCTGCCAAACTCAACTGAATTCACCGGCTCCAGTGCACTGTTGCACTCAAACAACATGGTCGCTATGCAGAGACCCATACTACTCAGTTCAGGGCCGAACTCTCCCCACGGAAGCTGCCGCCAAGGGCTCATTCATCTGCATAGATCACAACGGAGTTTTCCTCAGTGAGAACACGGCCAAGGAATCCCGCCCAGTTTCCACTCAACTCGCCCTAGCCTCATTATCATATCTCCCGGGCTATCCTCAGGTCAACAGTCTGCTTCCTGAGCCGTGTTCATTTCAATGCCTTAGCCATAGAGCACACTCAGCTACTCTGATGTGCCCAACGACGCAACAGCATCGAACCCACCCCATCTCAGCCCGAAGATAAGACCACCACAAGGGAACTCATGTGCCAATAAACAAACGCCTTCTGTTCTAGTCTATACAACCGCCACTGTTTTAGCGAACTATAAATATGAAGGTGTAGGAAGCACGATTGCCTTGGTTGAGTCCGTAAAAGCACTCTTACTATTGGGCAGCCTTCTTTCTTCGGGTTTTGGTACAGTTGTGCGGCGTTTACCCGTTCCGTATGCCTTAGCAGTTGCGAGCTCACGACTGCCGGCTAAATCAACTGGCCGTTCCAATACGAATTGTCCAGGCTACTCTGCGTGTAGTGACCTGGAGATTCCCCTGTTTGGCTGCCGCATGCTGCGTAAAATATTACAAAATCACAAAATTATATTTTCTCGATGTACATAGCAAAATAGCCGCTCGCCTGTTTGAACGTTGCTCGCGTTTGTTTGAGTCAGATAGCATCCGCCTTCGAACGGCGCGACGCTCCTCGGCTCCGCGGCCATCTTTGCTCTCCGCGCACGCGACCACACCTTTCCCTAGCTAGCTATCTTTCGGTGCCTTATTTTTAGCACTAGATAGCGTTTCGCCCACTTAATAAATTTTTCCTAGCGTTACTTTTGGTGTTCTCCACTCACCGGAGGTTGGCCTTATTTTCGCGTGTTGGTTTTAAAGCGTACCGATCCCGCATCGCGCTTTATGCGAGTGGCAAACAACGAGTGCAAGATTTTGTCCGTTCCGACTAGGACAGTCGAAACACAACCAGGACATTTCTAACACTACCAATACCAACACGGGATTCAAGACCCCGTCAGTTATCCAACCAAAGAAAATAGCCACACTTCCCTCCAAAAAGAACATGGGACAAAATCATAGTTCTCGGACTATTATATGCTCCAAGGTGACTGAATCTGAGGTAAACTCCATCGAAGATAAATTACTAGAGGACAAAAAACAGTGAGACTCCCTGTGTCCTTTAATATGGATCCAAGCTAAGCTGGCCAGTGTGCTGTGCCTAATCCGTCACCAAACTCCGTACACTACGGTGAACCACGGTTACTTCAGGCAACATTTAAGTCAGATAACGACGGAGAAGCAGTTCTCTTGTCAGCCACTTGTCTCCGTACTATATCATGCACTGTTCACATCTTCCCGGATATTCCTTGGTGAGAACGATAGAAACTCAGCCAAAATCCGGATGACTTCCGCAAGTAAAAAGATATAATATCGATCCTTGGTCACAGCCTCCCCAAGCTCCAGACGTTGATCGAGTTAGAGGCTACAACGCAAAAATGAAATGAATGACGTTTCATTCGTCAAGTGCAATCACTCGAAAACGTTATCGCTAATTCGACATCAAGGTTACCGATGTCAGCTAACTACAAAAGGTGTGGTTTCGAGGGATGCAATTAACATTGCAATCCAAACTAATAGTAGAAAATGTGCTCTAAATGTAGCACAACTTGCGTAAAATGCTGCCATCAGAAATACCTATAAAGATGATAGACACTCGGTCACAAATAGAAAAGTTGACATCGGGCAATCTGTTCACCCGTACAAAACCACTATCTTGCAGCCCAGAACATGAAGAGTGTCAAAACACGCCAGCAACTGAAGGCAGACAGGGTGATCATCTTCTTGCTGGCACTGAGTGCTCTACACAACGCGAAATAACCCAAGGGCCTGCGTCAGCAGTCCCATAAAAGACGACAGGCAGCCGACCCCACAAAGGTCGGCGTAGATCCTGACCGGAAATCAGCATTCACTAACACGCTTCTAACCTCTGATGCCTTCACTTGCATGTATACCAATGCACAAGGTCTCTTCATCAAGATAACCGAACTTCCTATTCGTCAGGTCTCCACGCATTGGGATATAGATATGGTCACCAAAACATGGCTGAACACGGAGATTATTGAGGCGGAGATTGCTCTACCCGGCATGACTTCCACACGAACCAATCGACCAAGCAGAGGTGGCGTTTAGAGAGTCGCCTGTACCGGGAGCCCGGAGAGCGATTCGAAAAGACAGATCGAGTTGCAGGGAAACTTTTATTGGTACAGTAAAAGATTCCCTGTTATCTAGCTATAAAGGAACGACACCGTGGACGCTCTAGCTAGGGGAACGAGCATGCACAGCACACAGGGCAGTCGCGAGTTGCAACCGAAACGAGCGCCAAGCAAAATATGGCGATGAGCAAGTCAAGCATTCGAACTCAGCAATCAGTTCAACAAACCACACCGGTTACCTAGGTGTACAATGAAATAATTTTAGTTAGAATTTTACACAGGCAAACTGGGAAATCTCCAGACTGCTACATAGCCCTCTCCCAGAATGGACTGTGTAAGCAATCCTTCGATCTACGTGAGGGCTGTCCATCGCGGACCAGCCTTCTGCGAGACCAAGTTGTGAAACCTGACGCAGCTGCTGGGGGAGAACCATGCAATCGGACCCTAGCGGGCTCCCACCCGTGTCCTCCCTACGGTGTCGAAACGGTAAAAACTGTTTGTGGGGGACAGTTAGTAAAGTTCACGTATGCGGTTTGATCAGGAAGTTCATTCCACTTCCAGTTGACTTAGGCATTTCGCTTACAAGTTTACAAATGCCGCTTCTCCCACCATAGGGAAAATAGACGACCTCGCACTTTTACTGATTCATCTGAATTCTCATGCCTCTACTAGTGGAGCTGCGACAGTAGTGTTGAACACAGAAGGCCAATTTCCCATTTAAATACCAAACTTAAAAAAGAACTTAAGCGGTTGCGACGAGTAGGAC